TCCCATTGTATCATCTAGCTGTGGCGGTTTCCATCTTACAAAGGTAACCATTTAGGAGAGGAGAGAAAGCTGGAAATGCTCACTAGTTAGAGCCAGCTAGTCACTCCCTGGAGTGCTACTTGCTGTCTGTCCTGCATTGCAGGAAGGATGAATCTGTGAAAGGCAGGCCTTCTGCCAGAGTCCCTTATGGGGTTCAGTATTACTTTGACCCTGCCATACACCAAATCATGACCATATACAACTATGGGAATACAGGACCTCAAAGGGTAACATTCTAAGGCAGTGCACATAAGCCACATTCTAAGTTCTCTCCTGATGTCAGTCCTAAGTCACATATATATTTCAGACTTTTAAAATAAGTGTCTGTTTAGAATAGCCTATTGGTCTATTAATGTCTTTTTTTTTTTTTTTAAAGATTTATTTATTTATTTATACAAGCACTGGGTACAGTCAGAAGCGCGGGAGGGTGAATTCACCAGAGGGAGAGAATTCACCAGAGCCAGAGCGGGGAGCAGAACAGGCAGACTTGATGAAGTACACTGCTGAGGGGAGCAGCGGGCGGCAGGAAAGGTCTGCGCGCCATGTGGGACCCTCGCCATGCAGGTGGCTGGGGATCGAACCAGCGCTGCAGAGGCTGCGGGCAGCTTCGCAACCCAGCGCTCAACCGCTGTGCCAATGGGGAGGCCCTATTAATGTCTTGAGCTTTTTCCATTCATATTAATTTATCTAATTCGTTATGTCTTTCAACAGTACACATTTCTCATAAACTTGGAGGACACTTTATGAAAATCAAAGAGCATTTGTCCTCATTAATGTTTTCCCAGTTATAACCTTTGAGAACAATTTCTTAAGAGATGTTTTGGGAGTTATATTCCAGAACATATTATCTTCATGGTCTTCCCTCTGGTGGGATGGATAAATCATCTTGAGAGTGGCACTGAATTTTCCAGTTTCAGTAGAAAAGATAAACATTTCACTTACAGAAGCTGCAGGAGTAGACTTCAAGCAGATCCGAAGTTTAGGCGTGCCAGGGAAGGCGTGTCTGGGGGTGGTCACGGGGAAAAGACTAACTCTCACAGGACATACTGAGGAATGGGAGTGAGTTACCAGTCACTTGTGTCTCCTGAGCCTCCACAGCATTTGGGGTGTGGGCAGTGGAAGGGTTAATAAATTTTTCCTGAGAATGCAAAGAGAGCCTCTTAAATATGGAATGAGAATCAACCTTTGTCAAGGGTATCACAGAGAGCTGAATCAAGGAAGCCTGCCTTTCCTACTGGGAGTGTTGCTAATTTCCACTCTGTGTGCTGTCTCTGTTTCAAAAACTGGAGGGTTCGCCCACCAATTGTCTTCTGGTCAGTTACATATACCACAGCCCCGGAAGGCAGCCAAGTGGCAACTGATCACAATATGATACGTGCTTTGCAAATGATAGGATGTATATGGCTGCTCTAAACAACTAGAAGGGTGGAAAGGGAGGCTTAGCATAAGAAGTATCACTGAAGTTGGGATTTTTCTGGGTGGAGGAATGGTATGCATGTGTTGTTGTGGGGAGTGGGAGAGGAATTTAAGGAAAAAATACTT